CCTCTGACTCAAAAGCTGGCCCCTGGTGACGCAATAATTGTGGCAGTTTTCCTATTACTTGACCATCAAGAGAAATACTTTCGCGTTGTCTTTCATCAAATTGTTACGATTTGCCGAAGTTAAAAATTATATTAAAATGATTGACTTGGTTTGTGGCGAGTGTTGGAAGATTCTCTGAATTTTTCCGAGTAATTTCCAATTATTTTGTAATTCAAAATTGTTGAGCCGTACTTTTTCATTGTCACTTAAGACGCAGATCTTCATCCAGAGAAATTGAACATATTTTCATGTCGTGTAATTTACATATTCTAACAAAAGTACATAGTCTTGGTCTTGGTCTTGCAAATCAAAGACAGTCTTGGTCTTGGCCTTGCATTTTTTGCAAGACCAAGGCCAGTCTCGCTCATCTCTAATATTTATGCCTCGTTCAAAAGTTCCTGATACTCGCCGACTTATAGACTTTGAACATACAAAAAAAGACAAAAAAATACGGGTACATTGTTCGAAAAATGCGCATAGCTCGAAATCTAGTCATCTCCCGAACTGTGAAAAAATCATGCCTAATCGACAATAAAAAAGACATACTTTACAAATTTTCATGTAAATTAAATCATTTAGGCGCGAAAAAAAATTAATTACTGAAAAATCGGTTTTCCCCATTTTGGCCGTTAATTTGAGATTATGTCAAACAGTGTTAAATACAAAAGATTTCAGTTTTTTCATTATCTACAACTTTTGCATTGAACATTTTCCACGAGGAGGTCACGTTCTGCCGCAACTCCTTCATTGCATTTTCATTTCAACATATCCAGTGTTTTCAAGTTGAAACTTTATTTTTTCTTAAGTTTGAATCTCAACAACCTGGTCCTTGCCTGCTTTTTATATTAAATTTTATAATTAATTTATACAGGGTGAGTTTTTTTCGATGCCCAGTACAGAGATCTTCGAAACTATAGCAGTTATGAAAAAAGTTAAATGGACAAAGAATTGTAGTTTTGAATGCTCTACTCGAAACCATTTTTTTTTTAATTTGACAGCTGTCAAGAGATATTTGAGGAAAACTTATTTATGGTAAATTTTTAAATTACACCTAGTTCCGTCGATATTAATTTGACAGGAAAACATTAATAGAAAACTTGTGGGAAATTAAACTCCAAACAAAATTCTAAGTTGGAGTTTATGGAAACAATGTCTTATACTATTTTCCATAGCTAACTTAGATCAACTAAATTGAAAAAGTATAAATTGTTCGCAGACATTTTATTTTCGAAAAAACCTAACGATATGATATATCACAGAAATCGTAATAAAATGCTCTATTCGCTAAAGCAATAATCAAGTATGGTTGCCATTAAAAAAAAAACTCAAATTTGTGTCATATGTCAAAAATTACAGTTATTTTGGAGAAATGTCTTTTTGTTTGGAATTCAATTTTCTACCAGTTTTCTATTTAATGTTTTCCTGTCAAATTAATATCACCCGAACTAGGAGTAATTTAAATAAATATCATAAATAAGTTTTTTTCCAAATACCTCTTGACAGCTGTCAAATTTTTGAAAAATAAAATTGGTTTCGAGTAGGGCAATCAAAACTAAAATACTTTGTCCACCTTTTCCGTAACTGCTATAGTTTCGAATATCCCTGAACTAGTAATCGAAAAAACCCTGTATAAAGACATGCTTTTAACTTTTAAATGAAAGCAATTATTTTTAATTTATATTTAATATAATTTTATATTAAAGCGCCGAATTGATATTAAATTCTAATTATTACAGCGATTAATAAAAAATTATTGGAGCCCATTAACTTATAAAAACAATTCGATGATTCGCATCACTAACCGAAATAATCGCGATTTGAAAATAATGAGCGCCTCTTAGCAACGCTGTCACATCAAAAAAATTGACGGTCTTTTATTTGGGCCCGGAAAGACGTTTTCGGCCTGTCAACGCAATTTCGATCGAAAGGCACGAGCGTAAAATGGCTTCGATTTTGCGGTCTTCAAAGTTTGTGCGTTATATAGCAGGTTTTGCGCGCAATGTTGTAGTTAACACACCCAGAGAATTCGATGGCACCCTCATAAATACCGCTAATGCCCAGTGTTATTGCGGGGCGCTTCCCAGGTGAGTCCCATTAACCCACTGTCAAAAAGTTGGGTTAAAACTGATATCGGAAGGTTACTATCCGGCTGCATAAATTACGCAATAAATCTATCGAGTTGTTGTTGTTTTAGAAATCTAGCGACACAACCGTCGACGCAACATGATCAAAGCTTGGACCGCCGGCTCAGATCCCTGGACCAGGATGTTAGAAAGTCCGGACGAATATCGCGCCGTGACATTGAAGATGTGTTAGAGGAAATCCGAAACGCCCGATCGGCAACCAGCTCACAGTCTCTTCTGGTGATTCGATGTTGCGGCACTTTGGTGCCCGACGAATTGCCAGAGGTGCGAACGAAACTGGTGGAAGAAATATGGAACACACTGAACAAGCTCAACGTTCCCATGGATGTCTCGCACTACAACGCTCTTCTCAGGGTCTATCTGGAGAACGAACATCCCTTTTCACCAACAGACTTTCTAGCCAACATGGAAAACAAGGGCATTGAACCGAATCGGGTAACTTATCAGAGGCTGATTTCGGCATACTGTCAGTACGGGGACATTGAAGGTGCTACTAAGATTCTCGAATACATGAAAGAAAAACAAATGCCAGTTAACGAGAACGTGTTTAATGCCCTGATTTTTGGACACTCGCAGGCGGGGTAAGTTTCCGTTGGAAACTATTGCTGGTTGTCAATATTTAAATTGCATTCATATTTCCAGAGACATGGATTCAGCTCACCGCATTCTCTCCGTCATGACCCAGGCAGGTCTAGAGCCCAGTGCAGACACTTACACCACACTCTTGTGTGGATACGCCAGACTAGGCAACATTGATACCATTAACGAACTTATCGCGGAATGCGAAATGAAAGAAGTGTACCTTCTGGATAAAGACTATCTGGACATTGTCTATGCGATGGCCATAAGCGGACACACTGAGCACATCCTTAGCATTCTAGCCAGGCTCAAAAAGTCCATGGGCTATAACCAAGATGCAATAAACTATATCCTAAGGCTAATCAACAAAGGCCAGGAAGCCACCGCATATGAACTGACGAAAACCGTGGTCAGATCCTTGCGGTATGACGGCAGCCTCATGCCAGTGGGCGGTTTCTTCATCAGGCAGCTGGTAAAGTCCAACAAGGACTTTAAAACAATTGAAAACTATTCCCAAAAGTTGGAAGAAGATGGGCTTTATGAAAGGGGCCTACTATTGGCCACAGAAGTGAGCCTTGAACTGGGCAACGAGGCTTTGGCCTATGAACTGATGGCGCATCTTAAACAACAGGGCATGGAAATCAGACAGCACTACTTTTGGCCGCTGATTCGCCAGAAGACTTCGGGCGAGGCGATTGTCAAGGTATTACAGAAGATGCAGGACTTCGACGTTATTCCAAGCCACGAGACATTGAGGGATTGGGTCTTACCCAACTTGCAAGGAAAGGGCAGCGAAATATTGTCGTTGCTGCGAGATGCCAATATTTCAGTTGGATCGTCCGCCTGTGGTTTGGTGTCTAATATGTTGATGAAGAACGAAATACGCGAAGCCGCGACTATTGCAGCTAGCGTGAACGCTTATTATGTGCCCGAGTTGCTGCGCCGACCACTCACCAATGCTTTTTACGCCACCAATGACGTCGAATCCTACATAACGATAGTGCGACAAGTTTACGAAAGCGTTAAAAGAAGGGGCAATAATGCCGAGTCCTCCAACACCACATACGATGCCCCGGGCGTTGTAGGATCTTTCCTTGTTGACCTGACAAGTATTCAGAAGAAGTACATCCAGCTGATACCGCAAGTGTTAGAGAAGTTAGTGGAACAGGGCCTTACCATCCCCACATCATCTGCGCAACTTCTAGAAACCAAACTGGGGGAGAAATTAACTGAGCGCGTGTCCGACTTGCTGGGCCAGCTCACTTCAGGCGAACTGACTCCATCGCCACTTTCCAAGAAACCCAGCTATGTTCCCTTCTACGAAATGAACATCGATCAGCTGGAAAATTTAGTGCGCAACTTGGACACGAAGAATATTGACACCATTGGCTACAAGCGGCGCCTGTTTACGTTGTATTACCGGGAGAGAAACCTGGAGAAAATGGAGGCTTTGCTGGAACAATTCAAGGTGGCCGAGTCCTTTGAAATTAAGTCAGGAATTCACGCCAGTCTCATGGACGCATATGCGTTCCATGACCAGCTGGAGAAGGCATTGGAGCAACTGGAACTTGTAAAGCAGCTGGAAGGTGATAAATTAGCAATCGACGAGAGCAAGATTGTTAGGGTGGCTGGCTTGATGGTGAAGAATGGAAAGATTGAAGATGCCATCAAGATGCTGGAGGGTAAGTTTAAACACGCAACGCTGCTGAGCGTAGTATAAAACTGGGAATCTTCCAGATACGCCCAGAGATAAGGTCAACCGCGGATACAGCTACACTGCGTTGGTCTGGCGAGTACTAAACTCGGTAGCCGAAAAAGGCTTAGCGGAAGATTTGGATCGCCTATTCGACGTATTGGTCAAAAACGATTACGTGGATGTTAACTCTGTCGTTCTGGGGCCCCTCATCAAGGTGCATCTCATCAAGAACGACCTGGACACGGCGCTTCAGAAATTCGAATGGTAAGTCATGGGTCATTTGAAAACATCATGCGAAGGAGTCTCTTATCATCTCAAAGAAGTGAAATTTTGCTCTTTTACGGACATACAAGGGGTTACGAGTGTCTTTCAATTTAATTTTATGTTATATACAGGGTGACTCAATAAGGGCAAAGAGCGTCTGTATCTCGACAACGGTAAAGTCAAGCGGGTTGGGAAAACATCCTTGTTAGTAAAGTTAGCACAAAAAAATGGTTGGAAACTGTATCGAAGTTTGTAGCTCGACCGCTAGGGGCGCAACTTTTACCAAAAATGGAGGAATCTTAGGAAGTGAGCTATAACTTTAAAAACGTCTTGGGTAAGACCGCATCGTTTAGCCCTTTGGCATTTTTTTGTATCTTTCATAATAAAAGATGGTTAGGCCAATGCAGTTTTCACTACTTACATTTAATATCTGCTGAACTACTAAGGGACTATTTTCCAAAAAATCACAAAAATGTACTACAGGCTAAAAGGTTTTAAAAAATGGCCTTTAAAAGATATTCATTTCAATGCTCTTTCACTTTAGGCCTAAAATAGTGGAATCGGTTAATGGTCATATGCACCGCCAAACCCCTTAATCCCGATTAACTGAACGCGTTTAAGAACCCATCTGCTATGCATATTATTTTGCAATTCATAAAATAAACCAATTCTTTGGATTACTATTTAGATTTTTATCATTCTGTTTCCAACTTATGTGCTACTGGGATATTGCAGAAGGTGGCCAATTTCTTATAACAATCTCAAAACGACTGGTTTTGTTAACCGAATGAGTCTCTAAAACATTTCGTCTAGTGTATCAAAATAATTCAACCGAGTTAGTTGCTTTCTTGGAAAACCATAAACAGTTATTTCTAAAAGATTAATAACATCAAATATTTCGCCTTCCAAGTTAATTCTCCAACTTGCTAGGACGAAAACGAAACGCTCAATTTCAAAGGTTATGTTATGTGTTTAAACTAGTTTAAATCCTTAATCCTCGGACGTGGCGAATTAAAGTTAAAAAAAAAGATTAAAGATACAAAAATGTCAGAGCTAAACGATACGATCTTACTCAAGCTCTCGAATGACGTTTTTGAAGTTGTTCGCGAGTTCAAAGGTTCACGTGCTCTCGGTGGCTACAATTATAACTACAAGTAGTAATTTAACCCTTGTTTTGTTGACATTGGTGTTTACATCTGATTGTGATTTGTTATGTTTTGTTATAATCAATTTTTGCAAGCTTTTAAAGAAATAGAAATAGATCGAAAAGTGTGTAAGTATTGTTGTATGTTATAAATGTTATAAACTGCATTAAATAAACAAGTCTGACAAGTTTCAATTGTCACTCGACAACGAGTAATTTGACGTTTCGCAGCGCTACCATCGGTAGTTGAACTCGCAAATAGCTCACCTCCCTAGATTCCTCCATTTTTGGTAGAAGTTGCGCCCCCTAGCAGTCGAGCTACAAACTTCGATACGCTTTCCAGGCATTTTTGTGCCAACTTTACTAATAAGAATTGTTTCCCAACCCGCTTTCTTTACGGTTATCGAGATACATCCGCTCCTTAAGCCGTAGGTATACGATGCGCAAACCGCAACGTTGCACGGAACGTTTGAGTAAAAAAGTTCGACAGTTCGTGTTGATGTACCTGCTACCGTGTGTCGAATGCTTGAAGCAAGAACCATTTGTTGCATCAAATCAACGAACTTTTTGCTTCGAACGTTGCAGCGATTCCTTTGACTCGGTCAAAAATACCGACAAAGCCGGAACATGCTCCAACGCGAACGTTGGACGCTCGACATTGGTAGCTCGTAGTCTTAAAAGTCGACTACACGATGCGATGAACTGTCAAGCCTCCAACGTTGGAGGGTGTTCGTAGCATCGTGTAGCGCCGGCTTTAACCTTATCGCAACTTCCTGTACAATTTTAATTGATGCATTCCGCAGAATGCCTGAAATACCGTAGTCAATTTGCAGAATGTCGGATTTCGTACATAACTATACCCATACCTTGTTTGGGAATTGAAACAAAAATCCTAACCAAGCACCAATATGATCAAAAATTGGTTTTATTGTGCAGGTGCGTGGAAAAGTTTAAAATGACGCCATGGAAGAACGAGTTGGCCTGCAAACTAATCGAACTGGAGGATGCGGAAAAGCTACAGAAGCTCACCGACCTCAGCACTGTGGTGCACGGCGAGATAAACAGCCTTTACGATTTGGTTTTCTCGTTTGTGGAATGCGGCAGGATCAGACAGGCCAGAAAAATTCTGGAAACCCCCGGTCTACAGAATCGTCCTCAGCGCATTAATAATGCCTGTGAAAGGTAGCGAGCTCGGTGGAAGTCATAAAAACCGATACAAATCTGTTTTTTTCCTCAGATTCCAACAGGAGGGACTGGTCAAGCCGCTGGAGGGGCTCAAAGACGCGACAAGAGATTTGAATATCGATCGCGGCGACATCTACTACCAGCTATTGCTCAGCTACACTAAGCAAGGCGATGCGGAAAAAGCACTGGGATTGTGGACGCAAATGCAGGAGGAAGATCTGGCGCCCACGGATCAGTTTCTACTCTCTCTTGGCAGCTTTCTACAGGAAAGAGGTAAGCCCCAAATAATCCACTTCTAATTCGCCCTCAGCAAACAACAAAACTTCCAGGATTAGCCGTTCCGTTCGTGATACCTCAACCGAAAATCCAAAAGAGGGTCACATTCATGACCGAAGCGCAAGATCCGCCAAAATCAGGATCTGCTAAAACAGCCAACAGGGCTTTCAGGCAAAAACTTGCAGCTGGCGCTATCGATGACTGCGTCACCTTCGTGAATCAAAATAAAGTATCCGTAGTGGATGCGTCTTATTTAATTGAAACCCTCATTCATCAAAACCGGCTTGACGACGCTTTCCGCCTAACAATAAACCTGCTGGACAGAGGGATTTTTCCCGTTCAGAAAATATTCAGGTGAGAGTTTTTGGTGGTTTTGTATGGTTCAGTTAGTCATTTTCCATTTTTAGATTCCTGTTGAATAAAATTGCCAGTGAGGGGAAAGTGGCACAGTTGAACCAAATAGGGGAGAAACTGAACAGCGAAGTGAAGCGCTTGATTTCCTTTGATAACCGCCTTTGCCACGCAAATATCGTGGCCGGAACTGTGGATGGCTACTTGCAGAAGCTGGAAAACGATATCGACAATACCACCCCTGAAAATCTCGACGAAGTAAGCGCGCAATTTCCAAGGGGCGGCGCTTATGGAATCTTGGAACGCCACCCAGAGTACACAGACAAATGTGAGCACTAACTAGTCATGTTTTGGCGGAATCTATATACATTGCATCCTGTTAATTTTAGTTGAGCAAGTTGCGATCAAATACGCCCAGAAGGGAATAGTGGGGCCTCTTAACGTACTGTGGACCAGGTTATTTATCAGCAATAACACGGAGAAAGTGGAACAGATATGGCAGGGATATCTAAAAGACGCGCCGAGACTAATGTTCCAGAAAATCATCCAAACCGCCAGGGAATTACACGACGAAGATCTGATCAACCGGTTAATACAGCTTCTGAAAGTCACCAAGGTCACTGATGGAGCATTAGGGAACGCGTACAGTTGCTACATTGACGTTTTAGTAAGCAAAGGTAAACATGACGATGCTGTGCAGCTTTTCGAAATGGCGGTATCGCAAGTACCCATCGAAAATATCAACCGAACGGCAATTATAAGGGTGAAGAACATTGTTGAGGCACAGGGCAAACCCTTTAACTATATTTTACCTAGTAAATCCAAATCGGTGGCACAGGAGGCTGACGACGTCTAGATGGTCGACTTATATTTAGGATGTTTTAGCTTAAGGTTACAATAAAATATTGTGTTTTAATATAAAACAGGGAATTTTTCATCGAAGCGACCAGCTGCCTTCAAAGCTTTTATTATAACTAATCAATAAGATCAGAGTTTTGATTAATTGGGGAATTTTTTCAAACTTACTCATGTTTAATCGAATACAATTATTTGATCATTCGCCACAACGACAAGCCAATAATTCGTTAGCGATAACCGGATGTTAGAAAGAAATGAACATATAATTCGACAGGTTTTTTTATTTCTTCAACTATTTCATAAAAAATCTTTTTGGAAAGGAAAGAGTGTATACTGTATATATACTGTAACAGAGGAGAAAACTGCTTTGGGATTTTTTCTAAATGCAGGGTCACTAAGTCAAGATTTGAAAAGCAAAAAAAAACAATTATCCTACATGAACTGCTGTTAGCAGAACGAAATTTCGAAACTGTTATTTTGGGAGGAGAAATTAAAATAATTTTATTATTTATTTTTAATAGCAGTACACAGAAAATTGTTAATTAAAAAACTTTTATTCGAATGAATCTAAAAGTGCCATTTTTCGATCATAAGCGATGATCATAAAGAAGCACTTTTCTTACTGTTCATTTCTCCCCTTTTCCTGCGCTTCTGTGGCCTTCACCACATTTCACGCATCTCACGGGCTGGGTGCAATGTCGCTGTGAGTGTCCATACCTCTGACACCTAAAACATTGCCCAGGATCTTGGCTCTTGCGTTTACTTTACAGC